TTAATTGTATTTAACATTTATTTTAACAAAAAAAATATATCTTAATTGCTGTCACATGGGTGAACAGCTTTAGCTGGGGAATGACAGCCGCCTGCTGAGGAAGCCAAATGTAAACACAGCAGGCAGTGGCTGGGAGCAATAGCCAACCCGTTATTGGCTATTTCACATTGCAGAAGCCAATAGCAGGCTGGCTATTGCACCCGCCCATTGCCTGCTGTTAATCAATAGGGGAGGTAACTGGAGGAGAAAGCAGTGCATGCCGCAGGCACCGTAGCAAGGAAGAGAGCAGGAGAAGCAGGACTGATGCGGAGGCGAATGGGCTGACAAAAGCCAAGCGCCAAGACGCAATTTATAGTTGCCATGTCAACTGGGATTTCTTGAGCCCTGCCATAATGCATTGCTTCCATCAAGCAATGATAATGTTACATTGTTCAGATGGCAGGCTTTGTAATAGCATTGAAGCAAGTGCATCTCCACAAGAGTGAAATTGTGCCAGTGCATTGAAGTACATCTTATGGAAATCTTCAATAAGTTTACAAACTTCTATCCCACTCCCAATAACTCCTGATTAGGAGTGGGATAGAACTTTATGGAAATTCAAATGCATTATAAAATATGCAGCTGAAACTTACTACAATTTTATTAATTAGTAGGACGGAATGCTGGCAAATGAGCCCTTATATTGAACTGCTCCACGCCAATCTGAAGTAAGTGACGTGGTTTACTCATTCTCTTTGTAATTCATTGGCCTAAGAGGCACACTGTAATCTGCCCAGATAGTTCTTATGAATAGCAGCAGTCTGAAGAAAGGTAAACACACGTTTAACACAGAGTTACCCTAAAATCCTATTAGAATACCAAAGATGTTAAGCTGCAGATAAGGTTATTGACAGGCTAAGTAAGGATGAAATTCAGCTTTCTGCTCTGCAGGGAGCGTGGATTACCATCAATCTTCCACTCCTAGTGTGGCTGCCATAAACAGATCAGGATATGAACACGCTGGTCTCGTTTACCAGGTACACATACCAGGATCATATACAAAGGGCCTACTGCATCATTTTCTCTCCGCAGCTTACACCATCAGCGCTAGGCTTTGGCATAAACTATAATCCCTCATTTTTCAGTGGACTCTTGGAGTGGATTTTTAAGGTTGGAGATACAGTATACATCTATGTGGTCAGACAGGGCTGTACTGTGCTATGTACAGTTCTAATAATGTCAGAATTGATGTGACATCGGCGTGCCACTTCCTGCTTTTCTACAGAGTTCACAGAATGTGGTTAAGCATGGCTGGGCTCTCTTATGGTCGGTACCCGGAGTTCCAGAGGTGGGGGATTTTCATATAGGCTTGGAGTGGCAACATTTATTATTACAGGTATTTATATAGTGCCAACAATTTACGCAGCACTTTACATAGTTGCACATTCACATCAGTCCCTACCCTCAAGGAGCTTACAATCTAAGGTCCCCATCTCACATACATACATACAGGGCCAACTTAAGGTGCCCATACACTGCTCGATTCTCGCGTTGCCTGCGTTCGTGGTGGATTTTTACTGTGTTTTTTTTTTTTTTCGTACGAGAATCGTGGGAAATCCCGCGATCGTACGAGAATCGAGTAGTGTGAACGGAGACGTGCGACCGTTTCTACTGTACGGTCGCATGTCTTCCATCGAACCAGCATGTTCGAAAACCAGCCGGGAATCGTACGATTCTCGGCTGGTTAGAACGGTGCTCGGAAGACAAATGCCGCACGCGCACACTGCCCTGTTCAGCATTTCAGAGAGTGCGATCTCCCTGTCCAAGATAGGCAGATCGTACGTTTTTTTAATCCCTGTACAACCATCGCAAGACTAAGGTCTTGCGATGGTGGTCGAGTGTATGGCCACCTTTAGAGAGAGGAGCCAATTAACCTTCCAGCATGTCTTTGGAGTGTGGGAGGAAACCGGAGTACCGGGAGGAAACCCACGCAAGCACAGGGAGAACATGCAAACTCCTTGCAGATAGTGACCTGGCCGGGATTCAAACCAGGGACCCCCAGTGCTGCAAGGCGGAAGTGCTAACCACTACGCCACTGTGCTGCCCATTTCTCTACATGTCTATAAAAATACCTTTTATCAAAATGAAGAATATAAATGTAAGCAGAGAAAAAAAAATGTGGTTCCTGACCTGAAAGTATTACTTACTTTTGCAGCCCTCACATAACTGCTCCCCCCCCGATCAGCTTGTGCTAATGGTACCCAACAGTGTATGTGAAGATTTCCCATTAAGTCAGTGGGGTGCACACATAGGTCAGCCAGACATAGTAAACGCAAATGGATGGAAGGAATTTGGTAGCTATGCACACCACATCTGTGAATCCTGCAAATCATTTTTGAGAGCTGCCCCCCATTTATGCTTTATCCAAAATGAATGCTTTTCTTTTTGACGGATAACTTCCTTTTTATCAAACACACACATCCCGCCAAGAATCGTACGATTGTCGGCGGGTTAGTGGCGTTCTCGGGAGACAAATGCCGCACAGGCCAGTGTGCGCAAGCACACACTGCCCGTGCGGCATTGGAATCATCGAGAAGCCCTCCCCTCAGCGGGACGGGCTTGCGATGATCGCAAGTACAATCTGCCTGTCCAAGATGGGCAGATCGTACAAGCTTATAATTACTTTACAACCATCGCAAGACGAAAGTCGTGCGATGGTTTTAAAGTGTATGGCCAGCTTTACTCTCTAGAACTCTGCTCTGAACATAAAGGAGTTGTAAAGTCCCGGCATATACTACCCAGTTATAACATCAGCATTGTAATAGGAATACATATGAGTTGTTTTTGATAATGCAATACAAGCTTACTGGAAAAAAAGTACATCACTTTCAACAACTTCCTGGATTCTCAGTGTGCTTTGCATCTCTTTCCCTGCTGCTTGATGTCATGCAATCTCTATTCCTCAAGACTACATATCCCATAATGAAGGGCTTGACAAATTTGCTTTGAATCTAGCAGCCTGCTAAAAAAAAAAAAAAAAAAGTAAA